TTCTCTTCATATGAATAATGCCGCAATTAATCCAGGGTCGCCATTGTTTAGATTTTTTCAGATGTGATGGCACCAAGCACTCCACGCGGTGGTTTATTATAGCCTTGAATTCATTCCACAACTCATCTATTGTTTTTGTGTGTTGTTCGAAAAGGCCAAATGAGAATTCCTAGAAATCCTCAATGCAGTGTCATCAGCATTGTTATAGTCTTTTGTAGTTATTGTAATAACGTTTTTCCTGTAGGACGTAAAGCTAGCAGTCAAATTTACTACAATCATTTTATGGACAGAAATACCGTCCTCATTTGAACACGAATATTCCTCAATGTTGTTTGATAGGAACACCAGATCTAACAATGACCATGACGTAGAAGTTATTCGTGTATATTTCTGAACAATTGGATTTATAATAAAAAAGAACATTATGTCTAATACTTGTCGATGAATAGGATACAGTGACGTAACAGACTATCTGCATAGCATGAGCGAGCTGGATTATTGATCCGTGCAGTGGCACAGTCACCAAGCCCAAGAAGCATGCAACATGCTGTTCGCGTGTGACTGCTGTGACGCTGTGAGGCACATTTTGTTTTCCGCAGGCCCTCATTTCAGCTTATCACGAGACCATTTAAAAAAAAAAATAATTTCATTTTCCATGCTTGAAGTAGCGAGACTGGGGTGCTCTAGCTGCGACGCATTAGTATCGTTACAGTACATTGCCTAGTGGCTCTCAAGGGCTGTTGTTTCCACGAATTTGAGGTGAAATCGAGATTGGTAATCGGCACTCTGCATTATTAGTTTTCGAATTAATCGGACTGGCGCTGATCACCGTTTCAAATCATCTGCTCAAACATGTGTTGTGAAATACGAGACTGCGGAAATACTTCGAATTATGCAGTATTTCAGAAGAACCAAGTTCAAAGTAATGAGGTTTTACTGCATATTTTTTCGCACTTCAATCTGAGTATTCAATGGGCATGTTTTGTAAAACAGCCTTACCACCCACACGCACACATTTGTGGGTGGTAAGGCTGATAAGCTCACTAGTACTGAATGTTTAGAGAGAACTATTGGAATTTTTTTGCCAGAAGTAATTTTGATTACTGATGATGTTTGACCATAGAAACCTACTCTAAAACTAACTTGCATTGCTCCAAAACACACCTTTTGGTGCTCTGGCCCTGCTCCAAAACTCCCTTTTTACTATTCCGAAATAGCATTATTCCTTCTCCCTGAGCTGCTCCAAAACCTCTTCCACCCCTGCATCATGTCCAGGGGCACCTGAGATCTTTTCAATGAGCTTCAAGATTTATTCTGAAGTGATGGTTATGGGAGGCATTGTGGGAAGAGAATGGAGGGGCAGAAGAAATCAGTTTAACATAGGTTTATTTGTGAGGAAAGATGAAAAGTATGAGTTGATTATATTTGCTTGTTGATCAATTGGCACATTAGAGCCATCAGGGTAACCTAAAGAAATGCTATTGGAGCCTTTACTGAGTATGAGAATTTTCCAAAATTTTGGGGGGTTGGCAGGCATAGTGGTCTGTAAGTAGTGGTGGAAGAATTTCCTTTTGGATCGTCTCAAAGCAGTAGTGTATTTGCGCAGGCATGTAAAATACGGTACTTTTCCTACTTTGAAGAAGTTACGAAGCATTTTGGATCGTTGAAAGAGAGCTTTTTCTTTCCTGACAGCCTCTTAAAAGTGATCGTTTTGTAAACTGGAGTTTTCCCAAATCACTGCGAATGCGTACAAGGGGTCCGTGCAACTCAACTAGGGATGTTAGTCTATTCTTAAATAACGTCCAGTTGTCGTCTACTGAACGAGATGGAGCAGTCTGACTAAGGAAAACTAGAAAACTCTTAATTCTAGGTTAATTTTTCTGAAGTTGGCCGGGTTGTAATTCCTGATGTGTTTAGTAGAGGCCTGTCGTAAAGGACATGGGATACAGAGGTTAAATATGAGTAAGTTATGCTCACTTATACCATCAACGAATGATAGCGATAAAAATGTAATGGTGTTTGATACAAGAACAAGATCTAAAATATTTACTCTGCAGGTTGGTGAATGAACTATTTGAGTAAAGTTAAACATCAGGATCATATCAAGAAAATCTTTTGTTGGTTGTGGGACTCAAGATTTGTCCAGTTAATATCTACAAAACTAAAATTAATGCAGAGCATGAAATTAGCAGAGGAAAAACAAGAGGAAAGAAAAGAAAGCATTGGGAATGAATTGAGTTCATGAATGAAGGTGGCGTTACCATCGGGAACATGGTAACAAGCAATAATCACAGTCACTCTTGAAGCTAGCGAAATGTTCACACAGATTATCTTGTGTTGACAGTTCATTTTAATGTCGTAAAAAGCCTGTGAACATCATACGCCTTGCAGTCTTGTAATAGCTCGGGGTCCGCAATGTGCGGCTGAAGCCAAGTTTCCGTAAATAATATTCAGGAGGTATTCAATGGCGTCTTTCTCAGGCAGATAATTATGCACAATGTGATTAAGACGGTCAGGCACGACTCACCGGACCATTCACATTGGCAAGGCAAAGTTTGTGGGAAATCGGGCGACGTGCTTGCCTACAGTGGAGCAATGACTGTTACGACTGCAATTCAACAACGTTATAGGATTTTGCATTGTACGAAAACTGCTTGTTATCAAGCACCAACTTGTCAAAGGGAAGTTTAAAGGCTTGCCGCTCTGTATGCCGCAGTCATGATGTTTCCTTCGTGCCTGTCGAACCTTAGCTGACTAGTCTTCGCGAATCTAAAAGCTTGTGCCTTTTAAGTTTGCACGACTCTGTGTGGACTCTGGATTTCTCCTTAAATCTAGCATATTTTACGATAATAGGTCTAGTTTTGCTCTGCTGGTAAGGACCAAGCCAGTGTGCATGCTCCAAGTCGTCTTCGAGTATGGATATACCCAGTTTGTCAGAGCAAGACTTTATTATTTTTGCCTAGGATTGAAGCCAGGTCTTGCCTTTTGTGTCTGGGATACCACAGAAAAGTTTGTTAGAACGACATAGGTAATATTCAGCGTCATCGCATTTATTTGTAAGAACCTTGATTTCCAAGGATAGTTCGGCAAAGCTATTATTCACGACTGCCTTTAGGCCTGTTTCGTTAGACTAAGACGATTGCACAATTTCTTTAGTGTATCGACACAAGTGGAAATGCTGGTAACGAGAGTGCTAGACTGGGATGTTTGGATCAGTGAAATTTCCCTGATAACCGACGTTTCGGATGCTTCTTTGCGTGATATGGCTTTTGCGATGGTTTCAATGAACCGATATTGGCCCACAGCTGCAAGTAATAGTCTCGGCAACACCAAGTTCGTTCGGTCATTCGGATCGTTACAATTATTCTTCTCTTTCCAATAAATTTTTCAGTTGCGAGAGAAGCGCTTGTTCTGTTTCTTGCTTTGTATTTCTTCGTGCGTTAAAAACCACAGTTACACTGTTACCTGTGTAACCAAAGCCTTGGGTGAACCACGCTTCAGTGTCTGGGGAAAGGGTAAGCTTTCTGATTACTCTTTAAAGGTTTCCCAGTAAGATTGTGCTCACAATGTGAACAGCAAAGTTTATTCTGGAACTAACGTGGTCATCAATGTTAATGCTAAATCCTATACGTGCTGACGTATTTTACTGCTGATTATTGAACCGACGATCATGATCAAGGTTTTCATTGTGCTGAATTTCTTTCTTGTCACAATAAACCGTTTCATCCTTTTCTGCTAGAGTTCTTCATGCTACATCGTAGCAACCACTTGACAATATCATGGAATTAGAACGCACTTTATTTCTTCTTTTGGGCTCAGAAGCCTTGACGAGGCATTTGTGCTATTTACACATTCTTTCCTGGTAGTATGATTGCTTTGCCAATTTATTCAACCCTGATAGATCACCCCACACAGCCCTGCCTTTGTTTGATGTATACGTGTTTGTTTCAGGCTTCTTGATACTTGTGTTTTTAGACCTCTTCACAGCAATGTCGTAGCCTATCATAGACCATTGACCATCATAAACACCACGTCTGCAGGGGTTGAAAAGCTACGCCGTTTGTGCCATCATGCGCCTAACTTTACCTGCAACACCCTGCACCGTACCAGCCCTGTTACATCGGTTAATCATCGGCCCCAAGCCATGTATTCAAAAATGTGGCTGTAACACGGTGTTTTCAGTGTCGCTGAAACAGGACACAGCTGTGGTTGGCTAAGGAGGTTGCCTCAGCAGGTGTCATGTGCCATAAATGATAAAGGGGCTGGGGAGGAAAAAGAGACTTCACAAGTTCTGTGGGCAAGCTTTTTTTTTTACAGGTGTGCATTTGAGCTCTTACATCTGCAGGAGAAAATAAAATTTGAGAAAAATGGTCTTTTGTATCTAATACTCCATGGCCCCAAAATAACAAAGCGGTGTTCTGGAGAAATTTACAGAAAAACCTCCATTGTACCAGCATATTTCCTCAGGCATTGATAGGTCTATCTAGAATGGCTGTGACCACTGGAAGACAATATAAAACAGAACGAAAATGAAAATGCGAATTTGTTTGCATAGCTAAAAAACGCTTTTGCACAATTTTGCCAGATTTAGCATTAAACGAATGCTGCTTTGCAATTGCTGTATTTTTTGCTGCTGCAAGCCTGCTTCAAAACATCTTCCTGGCGGCTATAAGCCTTCTTCAAAACGTTTTTGCTCTAAACCTGCTCGAAAGGTGCTTTTGCCTGCTTCCAAAATCACATACTCTGTTTCATCACTGCACCTGGCCTTTGTACTGTTGAAAACAAAGCTGTCATCATCATAATAAAGCTTTACTGTAATGTGTAGACTTTTGTAATATGGGTCAATCACCTCTCTTCACATTGATGAGCCACTATCTTGTTTAGTGGATCTTCAGTTGAAATTGAGTTTCATATTACGTTTTATGGGCTCAGGATATTCCTGAAACCAGGGAAAGAATAGGGCAAGAATAACAGCAGTATCTTATGATATTTCTGTGCAGCGCATCAGTCGTGCTTTCCTCAACGGGAGCCAGCTGGAGTCAATTGTTGAGTTTGGGCTGGAGCTGCCGGAGAGTCTGGCAGTGGACTGGGTGGGCCGCAATCTCTACTGGGCTGACCTAGTCCTCAAGCGCATCGAGGTGTCGCGGCTCGATGGTGAGGCACGCCGCGTGCTGCTGTGGCAGAGACTAGACGTCCCACGTGCACTTGTCTTGGAGCCCAAGCACCGGTGGATGTTTTGGAGTGACTGGGGAATCAAGGACCCCCGCATCGAACGTGCAGCCCTAGATGGCAGCCAGCGCAAGCGCCTGACAAACGTTCAGGTCGGTTGCACACAGCATGCTATAAATGCCTCTCTTTTTAGTGCTTCTGTTTCATCAACATCGACAAGCCTGGTTCACTTCGCAAAAATGAGTTTGGGCACAACTTGGCACCTCCACATTTCACACGCATCGCAACCTGAACTTGCCTTGGTGATATGTCATGTGCCAAGTCCAGCTGATAACCATCATGTTTACCATCTGTCGAATGATACGTAAATAACTCGATACTCGCAAAGTGAACGGCAAGCACCTGGCAGATTTTTAGTTTATGAGCATCCTTCGCGGAAAGATGCCGTATTCGTACAGTCGATCCTGGATATATCGAACTCAAAGGGAATCACGAAATAGTTCGATATCTTGATAATTCGATGTACAATATGTGCACATTTAAGGCCTAAATTAAGAGAATACATGTCTTGAAAATCGTTACAAGTGGTAACAATTTGCTGATGGTATGATGAAGAACAAGATGTGAACTGCAAGTTATTGCACTTTATTTTGCATAAAAATATTCTACAGTTGTCTTGTTTCTTGCCCACTGTCAAGCTTCAGTCATCTTTAATATCATTAAGCTTTTCAAATAAGCGAATTCAGCTCTTTTGGCCACAACAGCGTTGATTGACGCAGAATGCTGATGCAAGCTTCGATGAGCGGCAAAAGATTGGTTAGCGGGGACAGCGAAGGCGTTCGCACATTCATAACCACACAAGTACATTTCCGCAGCACCGGGAACAGCAGCCATGATCTCAGCATCAATGCAGTCAAAAACAACTATGTCGTCATCTGCACCGATGAAATCATTCACTGTCTGAGGTGCTGCCCGAAAACGCTACGTTGCAGAATTCACTGAGGCACTGTATGCCGAAGTTGCCACCTGGCCTGCAAGGAAAGTTTACGATGGTGCTTTTTGTGACGTCGCTCCACATCGCCCAGTCATAGTAATTCTTATCGGTACATGCGGGTCAACGTTCTCTTCAACTCCTGAATGAGGATTTATCAGGAACGAGGCGAGAAGTACACAAGTCCACAAGGCGCAAAAGACCATGCCGGTTTCCCACCGTCGACATCTTGGCGTAATGATGTCACTTGTGGCTTCGCATCAGACAACTGAAAGCTGCTGTTTTAGTTCGATGCGAAAAGCTAGAAAAAGCGTGGCCACCGAGACATGCATTTTAGAACCGAAAACACTAAACAAGATACGTCACGATGTTTTACATCTCGAAGGCCATGCCTTTTGGGCTTGCATGCCATTCTGCGCCAACAAAATTAGATCGCAGACTCACTTGACATTCTCGTTTCGGTGTCCTTGGCAATAGGCATTTTAGCAAAACACTGTGGCTGCGCATTCAGACCCGCAGATCGTGGATCAAACATAACAGTGTCTGCTGCACAACGATGTAGATCAGCATGGTAGATTAACACCACCTTTTCGTCACCTATGCACTGAAAAAGATCGAAACTTGTTAGAACGTGGCTGAAAATTGGTCAGTACTGGGTTGGAAAAATGCACTTTCTGGGCTTTGTCGCGGTGCAGCGTTCGATATAGCTGGATGTCCCGCGCTGAGGGAGTTCGATATATGGGTACACCAGTCCCTTACTTTTGCAACGAAAAATTCAAGGAGATTTCTCAACTGTTCGATATAGCCAATAATTTGATATATCTAAGTTTGATATATCTTCGATCAACTGTATTAGGATCGTAGTAAAGGCGTATGCTGCATTTCTGTTGTCTGAAAGCGGACAGGGCTACGCTAACGCCTTAAGCTTATCAATTAAAGCGAAATCATTTGTTATTTGAATGTTACATAGGAACTGGACTCACACACGCGACATACTCAGGAACTTGCACAAGTTCGGCGGACTTATGTCGCCATTGATTTCGCGGCTCTTGACCTAAACAACATAACTAACGTGCTGCTTTAACATTAGTGCTTGAATGCAATCCTTTTGACACTCAAAATCTTTATGTTGGCTTGTACAAACCTCCCGTGCCAACATGCCAAACCATCGGCTAGGCCTAATCAGCGTTGGTTGGTTTTCGATGGTGGTCGTGGGCGATCAAAGTCACTGTTTCTAGAACCGAGTTCTATAAACGTTGATGAAAGTTGCGGTTTTGTATGAGATTTACGCATCTCTTTGTGGTGGCTTTAGTTGAAGAAAAGAGGTCAGTCGCACTTGTTACACTCGAATGGTGGTACGCGATTCAATTGCAATGTGTTTGGACATGAGGTGCGAGCTCGTAATATCAAATGATTGGGACCGTTCAGCACACAAGATTTTGGTTGTGATAATGGGCATCATCTAAGTGCCCTCAAATGTAATCGGCAAAATTCCACGATGGCGCTTTGTTGTCGTTTTTCTTTTTTTTTTTTTCGATCACTTTGTTGGTAATGCAGGTCTTCCGATGTTAACTTTTGCAATTAAATGCTTGGTAAACACATCGCGTGCCTTCTTTCTAAGACATGTGAGTCTGCATACTCAAAAAAGTTTTGCACTAGTGCAGCCGATAAACAAGGTTGTTTTCGGCTGTAGTGCGGATATTCGTGACTTTGGTGACTTGCACTATTAGCTATGTGTGCTGTAGTCAGAAATAGTCTTTTTAGGTATTTTATCATGTGTAATTGCCTCACCACTAATTTGGAGCTTGATATTCTGGCAAGAAAGTGTAATGATTAAGCCAGTAAGTACTGTTATATATAATGTCCTTTTCCTCCTCTGGACTTGAATAGGGCTGCAGTATGCATAAATAAATAAATTTATAAATATATAAATAAATAATTGCAATTAAGGGGGCAGACTTATCTTAGACATTTTGTTTATTTCTTCAGTTATCTTGATGAAAGTGCATAGGCTTACATAGTTTTTTCTGCTGGTTTCAAATATGTAATTACTTTTCCTGTAACTCATCTTGTTCCTGAAATAACTTAAGTTCAGCCCCTACAGCTTAAGGCCACCATAAAGAAAAAAAGTGCTAATTAAATATTTAAGGTATGGCAGCATAGGCTAATCACTAGAGATTTAAAGTGTGCAAAAGTTTTAGTTTTTTCGGCCTTTCTTAATTATTCTACAGCAAAATGAACTTTTTATTTTTAAAAGCAGTTTATTTTTGTTTCAATTTTGATAAGTACTCAAATAAAGAGGCTTAAGTTCTAAATTCTGCTCCCATGCTTCCATTTTATACACGTACAGGTTTCTGTTGCAAAAAGAATTATTGTTGTGCCTGCCCTAGCTATGGAAGCCTCACAATTGAAGAGTTGTAAATTTACAGTACTACCCCGTTAACTCGAACTCTCATATGTCGAAAAATCAGCTGAGTGGAAATTTTCCGTGGCACTGAACCTTCTCTGTTACATCCTATGTATTTTTTTCCCTTTATCTCAAAGTATTTCTGGCTTGGATTGGGGATATCTCGAAATCTTGAGTGAGAGTCGAACGAAAATTCTGCCACCAGGCCATTACACAAGATTCCCGCGATGCTGCTACGCCTGAAATCTGTCAGATTTTTACTGTTTATTTTTTATTTAGCCACACCTGCCACTACGTCGATACTTCCCACAAACGTGAAGTCTGTGCCTAGTGGCATATTAACTTTGTCGAGCAACCCTGTGGCACATCATGTGACTCTGATACAGCAGGCCTTGCTCTTTGCCCCACGCTTGGCATAGTCGCGTCGTTTTTCTCGTTTGTCTGGAAATGCTCGTTGTTTTTCTAAGGTGTGATTTCCGTTCAGTATAATATGCGCAACGTACCTGGTACGGATTTAGCGCTGACTTTGAGGAGCGGCGACTTAGCGTGAGTGCAGCAAGCATGGCGTCACAAAAGCAGTGCGAGTCGCTAACACTAGAAAGGAAGGTTGCCCTAATTAAGGAAGTGGAGAAAGGAGGCCAAACGAAATGAACCATCGAGCAGGAGTTTGGCATCCCTTTGTCTACGCTTTCGACGGTGCTGAAGAACAAGCAGAAAGTGCTCGATGGATATCAGCAGACCTTCTCAGCCAGCGGAAACGGTTGTGTCGGTGACCGGAGAAATGGTGAACGCCGAAATTGTTCAAACGGCCACTAGCGTAAAGGACGGAGGAGACGACGCCGATGGCGAACCACCTCGAGAGGTGTCGACATCTTCAGAAACAAGAAATTTGCTGCACTTGCTTAGAAATAAGGTGGAGTACAGCGGCGGGGAAGATCGTCTGATGTGATGCGTGAAGCAACTGGAGGACCTAGGTCCCAGTTGCTTCCTAGGTCCCAGCACAACCGCAAAGCAGACCAGTATTAGGGAGTTTTTCTCCACAGAATAAAATGGCAGTGCTTTAAAATCCAGCTGGTTAACATCTCTTATGTAATATTTTTTTCTCTTTTAAACTTTCATGAGAACAAACATTAGAAACTGCTGTCGAAAATCTGGTAAGTAGTAGTGATGTTGCCAAAAAAGTATCTATTTTTTCCGGCGATTTGCGCAACTTCGCTTATCTCCAAAATCCGCTTATCTCAAAATTTTTATTCGTTTTTATAACTTCGAGTTTACGAGGTATTACTGTACTTTTCTGAGAAAAATGCAAAGAACTGATAACACCCAGTTTCTTCCAAAAACAGCAATCACGTTGTGCATGTTTTGCAATGCTCATAAAGGCGCTTATAAATTGGTAGTAGAGCTTGAGACCCAGGTGCTGTCAAATGATAAAGAAGCCTCGAAGTAGGTTCCCTCTCTCTCCCTTCCCTTTTTTTTTTTTCAGATTCTGCATTGTGTTAGCACCAAGGATCTGAGCAGTCAGAATGACATTATGAAAAAATTACCACTTCCTGGTGGGTGAAAATTTGCATATAGATAAAAAATACTTGCAGAAACCAAATATGCCAATTGTAAAAAATGAATTTTTTTGTCACATTTTGTTCCCATAGACCAGTCTGCCCCCTCAACAGAAAAAGTTAGGAGCCAAGTAAAGGTGTACAAATAAGTACGCTTACTGTGTTTACATGCCTGCAAAGTCTCCCAGATTTTCCAGA